ACGTCCAAAAAAATAAATTTTGACGTCATACCACATTTAAAATTTCCTAATAAAATGATGTAAATTATATTGAGAAATCTGTCATGCAAAAATAATAAACATTAATAAAATAATTGATTTTTTTCAAAAAAGACGAATTATACGTCTCTTTTTGGTATACACGTTTGATATACGTTTAACTATTTCGATATTCATTTTGATCATTCAATATGTTTATGATATAGTTTTCGGAATGAGTTTCGAGAGAATATAGAAGATTTATGGATATGGCCAGCGTATAATCGTCGAAAATTTTTTAAAGTTAGTTTGTTATCGAAATTATCGAAATATTAGTTTGAAACGGTATACTTTGACACGTCATAACATTTGTTACGATTGACCATTTCGTACACCTTTAACGACGTGAAATACTAAGCGATGAATGCTTCAAAATGATTTTAAAAGTGTAATATTTCAATTTCATTTGATATTCCATAGTGAGCCCAAAAGAAAAATGGAGGGTCAAATGACTCTATGGGACCCTCCTTGGATCAGCCTCTGTGTACGAATATTTTCACATTTATCAATCAAAAATACAGTGTATTAAAGTCTTTGGCTCATCTTAACTAAGCCTTTACTTGAGCTCCATTATTTCCATAAGAATTTATTTTTGAATAATATATTGATGGAAAATGTGTAGTTAAAAAATAAGAAAAACTTTTGAATTTGCTTGTAATATTATTTTATTGAAAAATATGTGGTTAAAATAATATCAATTCACTAATTAATAATGTATTTTTTAAAAGAATGGGGATCAAATGGGACGTAAAAATAACTTCTCCATATAAGTAAATCCATGAACTAATTATTTTGATAATTAATAATTTAGAGTCTGTAAAAAATTTTCAGAATAATTTTTTTGAAGAATTTATAGGTAGCGGAATTTTCGATCGAATCGGGTTTGATGGAATGATCATGCTACTTGTACTTGTTTGTTCATACTTTGATTTACTCGAGTCCACATCCTCCTCTCACATTGGGGTCGGACCCACGTCATGACCCCCACATGAGACCCAACCTCATGTGAAAGGAGTGGTGAGGTCAGATAATCTAAAATGTCAACAAATAAGTACAAATGACTTAATTGTTGATGGAATGCCAGCTTTGGTTGATGGAAAATGTCAAAAGACAGTACGAAGTACGAATGGAAATTTGAGTGTTGAGAGGGTGAATTTCTAGGACCCGTACGATTCGGGCGTACAAAAGAGGTCCAATTGCCATTATTATTTCCCCACAACTTGTTTTTCACTGTCTGCCTCACTTCACCAGTCTTCTTCTGACAGACTGACACTCCTCTATTTCATTTCAAGGACATGGGGCAGGCCCCCTCTCCCTCGTCAATTAATTAAAGAAACAATAATGCTCTAAATGTTTCAAGGACGAAGCGATGGAGATTCTTAATGTTGAAATTCAATCTTTAAAGAAAACAATAATGCTTTTATTTTTACTTTTTACAGAAAAACTTTTGAAAGAAATTACTTCAATTTTTGTTTAAAAATTAATTCTTAAAGGAGTTACTTAGTGATTGTTTGATAGGAATTTTGATATAATCACATTGGATCAGATTTTTCTAAGAACGTTTCTAATTAGAAGAAATATTTTCATAAAATTAATCAAATGACTCCACAAAACAACTTTTAGGCCTCGAACGCTTGTTCGATTTTTCAAAAGTCATATTAAATGGGCTTTGAACATCGTTGATGCTAAAATATCAATCTAGAGGACACAACGAGTCATTTAATTGTATCTTTCATTGAGTTTATCACATACGAACATCTAAATTGATGCCAACACCAGTAATGCTATATAATATTTTCAATAATTAATATTATTTTTCATTATAATGAATGATAATTGTGTTCAAAAATTATTAAACTCTTGTTTGATTCTCATTATATATGCTCATGTTTGAGTCACATTATAGGAAAAAATGCATTATTCATGTCAAATCAATGAAAAATGTATGGTTAAAAAATAAGGAAAAATTTTAGATTCGCGTGTGATAGTATTTTATTGAAAAATATCTGATTGAAATGATGTCAAATCACTGTTGAAAAATGTGTTTTTTTGAAAATAAAGTGGTTCAAACAAGCCTAATTTATTTTAAAATTTATTTTCAATCACATTTTTTTAACAAAATAATTTTACATGTAAACCAAAATTTTTCCACCTTTTAATCATATATTTTTAAAAAAATCACTATTAATTAATTTATTCTTTTAAAAAACGGGGCTTAATATATCAATAATATAATTTAATGATGTTGTATTCTCGAATAGGGCGATGATCCACATCATGACAATGAATATCATTATTCGGCCTTCTTTGAGCCCATTTTTTCAAACTCATTTTTAATCATATATTTTTCGATAAAATAATATTATAAGCAAATTTAAAATTTTGACTTAATTTTTAATAACACATTCTCCATCAATTTACTATTGCAAAATAAATTCTTTCTCTAAAATGGGGCTCAAACAAGGGGTCGATTAATTTTTTATTTTTCTAGTTTCTTGTTTTAAATTTTATCTTTTTTTTTTTTTTTAAATAAGTCGGTGTGTCGTTTCATTTTACATTATTCATTTGTGTCTATTTGTTAATATAGATTTTATTTAAGTGTTTGCCGGATTAAAATTTGATATGATTTATCAATTAATTGATTAAACTTTAGTTTTAATCATACAGTTAACGAGATTCATAACTTTTATTAAAATCTATTAAAGTTCCTGTCAAATAATATCTCTGTCTGTGTGTGTGAGATTGTTGATACTATTGTAATTGGAATAAGATGAACACGAATTCCCGGGGGGCGGGGGGGGTGGAGGGGTGCATGTGACTGAAGTGGACGAGCAGTGGGAGAAGAGTGGGGGATGAGGTAAGAAGTGAAAAAAATAAAAAATAAATGAAGAAGAAGAATATGAGAAGAATATTCTAGGTATTATCTTATTTTAACGTTTCATGAAAATGAAAGCTTCAAATAAGGGAGTGTGAGGAGAAGAGTGAAAGTGAGGTGAGGAGTGAAAAATATAAAGAAGAATCAGATAACTTATTTTGAGTTTCATGAAAGTGAAATATATTTCGAAAAAAATAATACTATATAATATTACTGGTAGTGTAACACTATTCTAGATAGCTAAAAATGATGAGACATTTTAAATGTAATTCATTGCCCTATTTCAAGGTAATCTATCAATTAATAATACTTGCATTCCACTTAAACTGTTGCTAAATAGCATTACTCTTTCAAATAAAGGAATGCATGCGATTGAAGTGGACGACAAAGGTGGGGATGAGGTAACGCGTGAAAAGAAGAAGAAGAAGAAGAATAAGTGAAGAATATTCTATCTATTTCCTTACATGAAAAGTGAAATACATTTCAAATGAGGGAATGCATGCAATCGAATCGAACGAGCAGGGCAAAGACGAGAAGAGGTGGGTGATTCACATTTGAAGAATAAAGAATATGTTAAATATTTCCGTATTTTAGTGTTTCATGAAAGTGAATACATTTCAAATACAAACGAATTAACCCTAGGTATTGTTTGTTAACTCAAATGGGCCCAAGATATGAAGCCCATTATTTTGAAAAGGGGCCGAGAAGGTCCAAAAGCTTGGCACATTTTGAGAAAATAAGAAATTAAAAAAAAATAATAATTACTTATGATGAGAGGCAAGAATCAAAACCGACCGAGAAAAAGTAGTTTGGTTTCACTCTCCACTTACAATTTTTCATTTCTTAGTTGTCTTTTAATAGTGAAAAATGTCATACAGTCACTTAATATAAAAAGCATATTGAAATATAAAATATTTAACTCCTTCAATCTTTCACGTGACGTAATTATGGATCCGTAAGATTAAGAATTCCTAGCATAAATAAATATATAATTTAGGTCTCCAGATAGTCGAAATAATCAATATGATTGATAAATCGCAAGAAACTTTCTTGTGACTTAAAGCTAGAACTTGGAGGACTTTCTTTCGATTCAATAGAGATTAATGTCTATATAGATGTTATCGATTGTGTGAGGATCCTCAAGTATTTAAATTTTTAGAGACCTAGAACTTTACTTTTGAAAGTTGTGGTCCATAAACGCTCTACATGAAAAGTCGGAAACCTCAAGCTTAACTTTTCCTATTAAAACATAAGTGCAAATTCAATGTGTCCTCACAAACACAAAATGCCCTAGTATTTAGACAAAAGAAGAAATGGAAAATATACATAAGTGAAAATTCTACTAAAAATGTTGTTTATCAATATAAAATCATTAGTACATTAAAATGATAAGATAAAATAATTGACATTTTTTTTTATATATATTTCAATTTTTTAAAATAATTTCAGTCTTTTTTTCTTTTTATCATCTAACAACAAATTTATCTACCTTTCACATCATATCTTCCCCATTTTAATTTGCATGATTCATTGATTCTCGTGTTATTCCACTATCACAAACTAAAAATTATCAAAAACTATCTATGGGCTTGTTCGGTAGTGATTTTGAGAATTGATTTTTTGATCGTGAAGGAGAAAAGTGAGTCCTACATGTAAGAAAAAAGTCAAAAATGACGATTGAAATAGTGAAATAATAATAAAAGAAATTAATTTTTTGGAGAGAAAAATCACTACCAAACATGCACTATATTAGTTGTTCATCGTGCTATCGATGCAATGTGGCAAAACAATTGAACAAAGAATAACAAGTTTGAGCTTTTCTCGATTGTACCAGAGTTCAGAAACTTTAGAATAAGTGAATCGAATTGAGTCAAGAGGAATTATCTTTTTAAATTAGTTGATCATACTTGCTCAATTCAACTTAAATAGTACGGTAATAATTTTAATTTTATTTAAAATTGTCGAATGTCCATGGTGTCAACCATTTTTGCCCCCTAAAGATTCCAAAGTATTATTGGTGTACTAATCATTTTTTTCTTTTTATTTCAATTGTTTGTTTATCCATTTATGTAACTCAAGAAACCATTACGTGCAAGGGAATCAAAGAATCAGTGCCACTCGCCACCACGAGTCCACTCGGCAGTTTCTGTATCTATCTGCTCTGTAACGTGTAAGCAAAATCCAAAGTTTGCTTAACCAGCAGCCAACCTCTTCAACCTTGCTTTCTTTTTCTTTTCTTTTCTTTTTTTTTTTTTTTCCTCCGAATTTATTGGCTTCAACTTCAATTTTTTCGTCTTCAGAAATAAGCTAGTTCTAGTTTTACGCCATTCTTTATCATTTTATAAACCCATTAAGATAAATTGATAATCAGATTGCCCATTGTTTTCGAAACAGGATTTCTTGAAAATTGCACCGCTTATCAATGACGATCATTTTTGCTCTATTCTGTGTAATATTTTTGTTCGGGAAATCAGAATCCATTAGCCGGGTTGATTTTCCAAATGGGTTCATTTTTGGAACTGCTTCTTCGGCTTACCAGGTAATTTAGTGTTGAATTTTTTTGGTTTTGCTTTCTGGTTTTTATATGTGTGCATTTTCTGGGCAACAGTTTGAAGGTGCTGTAAATGAAGGAAATAAAGGAGACAGCATATGGGATAAATTCACAAGGCACCCAGGTTTGTTCTCTGTATGGCATGTTTGGCATACTATTTTAGCTTATTTTTCTTCTCCTTATTATATACTGTCGAATCCATAATATTAAACAAGCCGTGAAGAACTCTTAAAAAATCACCCTACCAAACATGCCATATCTGTTTAAGAATTTACTTAATATGCCTGGTTTTTGCTGAATCAGGAAAAATATTGGATTTCAGCAATGCGAATACAGCTGTTGATCAATATCATCGGTTTAAGGTGAACAATTCTTGAAAGTTCCATCAGATGTATTCTAGGCACTTTATTTTTTTACTTTTATATTTTACTGTTAAATTAACAAACTTAATTGATTTCTGTTTTTTTCATCTTCTATCTCTGTTTAGATTAAAATTTAAATAAGAATAATTCTATTTGTATTGAATTGGGAGTACCGAAAGCTATCCCCCTCTCACAACGCACGCATGCCCCGCGTAAATATAAAAATTCTCAAATGTGGTCCACATCCCTATTGTGAGTAGTAGGTAAAAGATTAAGTAAAAAAATTATATACATAGAGCATTGGTCTATAAATAAATGGTTTAACTTTTACATATGGATGTTTAAAGTCGTATCGAAGCAAATACAAGTCTTAAGTTGTAGTTTCTCGGTAGCCTAGTTATAAATTTATGTAGGCGTGATGAGAAAATGAATTCAAACTACATGGAGAGAGCTTGTAGATTTTTCTTACCAACTTTTGTGCATAGACTAGAAGTTACATGTGCTGTAAGGAATTTCTTACTTTTTTTTATAGTATTATAGCCAGAATATGTGGAGAAAAGGATAAGAACATCTACACTCAAGAGATAGGTATAAAGTAATAATCAATTGCATCATTGCACTACATAAAATACAACAATAAGAGAATATCTTTGGTGGCACACAATTATGTAACCCAAAAAAAAAAAAAAGAAGAAGTCAATTCAAGACTGTCCTTTTCCTAATTGAAATGGATATATGAACTTCAAATGACAGGATGACATAGACTTGATGAAGGACATGGGCATGGATGCTTACAGATTCTCCATATCATGGTCAAGAATTTTCCCAAGTACGATGACATAAATTTAATCAATTTTCCTGTAAAATCCTCGTAAATATTTCCCGTCTTACACCAATTCACTTACGACTTTAGTATATGCTTATTATCAGACGGAACGGGGCAACCAAATTCGGAAGGAATACAATACTACAACAATCTTATAGATGCTTTAATTAAAAAAGGTTTGATAAAGAATGAAATTTTTACATAATAAGCATCTTGTATTACTGAATGTATCACGTTTATTTCTGCCAGGAATTGAGCCCTATGCGACTTTGTATCACTGGGATCTTCCGCAGATGCTTGAAGATAGATATGGAGGATTATTGAGCAATCATATTATGTAAGTGCATTGTATGCATCGTGGTCTTATTCTCTATATATATGAGGTCAACGTTGAAGTTTAATGAATTTCTATGTTTGTTACAGAAATGATTTTGAAGAATATGCTTTTACCTGTTTCAAAGCTTTTGGGGATAGAGTAAAAAATTGGATTACATTCAATGAGCCTCATGGAATTGCAATCCAAGGTTATAATTATGGGATTCAAGCTCCAGGAAGGTGCTCTATTCTTGGACATTTGTTCTGCAAAAGAGGAAAATCGTCTGTCGAGCCTTATATCGTAGCTCATAACATTCTATTGGCTCATGCTGCTGCTTATCACAGTTACCACTGCAATTTCAAGGTATTTTGCATAAACAAAAAGTATCTTGACCTTAAACAAACAGAATATTAAAGTGAAAGTCCCACTTATTGTTTGTCCCAGGAAAGTCAACAAGGTGAAGTCGGGATCGCATTAGATGCTAAATGGTATGAGCCAATATCCAATGTTGACGAGGACAAAGATGCTGCAGGAAGAGCAATGGATTTTGGACTCGGATGGTAATTCCTTATTCCTAGCAAGAAGTACATTATAAGATAAATCATAGTTGGGGAAAATTCAGCAAATAAAATTGTGTGACTGGGATTAAGTGAATCAGGTTTCTTGATCCACTTCTCCTTGGGAATTATCCTCTTTCAATGCAGAAGTTAGTCGCAGAAAGACTTCCAGCGATCACTCCTGAGGTGTCCCAAATAATCAAAGGGTCCTTAGATTTTGTCGGGATAAATCATTACACCACGCTTTATGCCCGTGATGACAGAACTCGGATCCGCAAAATGATATTACGGGATGCGATGTCTGATTCTGCTGTAATCACCACTTGTAAGATACTAAAAGCACTGTCTTTTATACTAACAGTAAAGATTCACCAAGATTCGTATTAATGTGCATTGTTTTCTGTTATGTATCGCTCTAGCATCAAAACATGGAGTTCCTATTGGAGAAAGAGTATGTCCTAGCCTCTCATTAAGGCCAAAAATTTGAAAATCAAGTTCGTATTCCTATATTTTAAAGAGCTTTCCCTCTTCAGGGTGCATCTAGTTGGTTACACGTAGTCCCATGGGGCATCCGAAAGTTAGCAAACTACATTAGAGATAAGTATGGAAATCCACCAGTAATTATAACCGAAAATGGTAGGTTTTTTTCCCCCCTCCAAAGCTAACTCAACTGCATACAAACAATTGATAATTCTCATGCTTCGTTTTGTTTTGTGATATCAGGTATGGATGATTCTAATAGGCCTCATATAACAATAGAAAAGGCCTTGCAGGATCACAAGAGGATAAATTATCACAGAGACTATCTATCAAACTTATCTGCTGCTATCAGGTGCAGATCATTGTGTAAATTTTCAAGTCTCAACTAAATTTTGCTGCTTTATCCCTACAAGCTAATTTATGCAAAAGAAGTGAAACTACATTAAATGCAGGCAAGACAAATGTGACATTCGTGGTTATTTCGTTTGGTCCTTGCTTGACAACTGGGAATGGAACTTAGGATATACTGTCCGGTTCGGATTATATTATGTGGATTTCAAGAACAACCTCACAAGGATCCCAAAGGCCTCTGTGAAGTGGTTCAAGAACATGTTAATATCAAGAAGAGAACTGACCGACAAATTGCCCTAAAAATCTTCAGACTATACCGGCCGACATGTACATGAATCATAGAATGATAAATCAGTTCACAGAATCACTGAACACAATTGTGAAGGGTATATAATCAACAGATTGGCAGATTAAGCCTTTCCCTTTTCCATGTACACTTACCATGTTATAAAATAAGAGATAAGACAGGCTCATTTCCCTGTTAGGGTTGTACTTTAGGAATACATGGTAAATGTATAATATCTATAATTGATAAGGCTCCGTTTGATAGCCATTCTCTTCAAAATGTATTTTTCTCTCTCTTCTTTTCAACTACATATTCTTTATTAAAATAATATTAAACGTAAATGAAAAAAATTTCCTTATTTTTCAACCACACATTTCACATCAATTTACTATTCTAAAATGCATTTTTACATAAAAATGTCTATCAAACACCTCCTAAGTCAATGATTTTCTTGTTTACATGTTATATTACTTGATTAAGAACATAATTGGGATCTGGAGATTGAAATTGATGTTCACAGAAATGTACATCTGTTAATTGGATTTACAAAAAACATAAACACAAACACAACCCAGATTTTCAAAAGATCGAGAAGAGCAGCAGAAATTTGTTCTTGTAAATTTTCAGATTCTTGAAATGGAAATACCACCGAACGTCTAATATTCTCGACGGTCTTCTGCAAAAGAATGGGTAAAAGAATCACAAAGCCTGTTACTTGAATGAATGAATCATTGAAGACCACCTAAGATGAGAATCAAAGCTGGAGAATGAACCCCAATGACGCAGGACAGAAACGTGGATAAAATAAAGTGTTTAGTTCGTAACACACGGATGGGTGTTTGCTTGAATTTCGCTTGAACGGACGTGATAATTATTTGGCATCCATCAAATAAATATTGGAATCCACCAATAAACAAGAAAACTAAAATAGTTTATTAATCAAGAATCGAATAATGAAATCGAATTTTGAAAAAGTCTACAAAGCCTTTATATATAGGCAAAATTATCCCATAATCTTAGATGTAAGGAGTTTAAAATGAAGGAACTAATAAATTCTAATCTAATTAAAACTCATATTCTAACCAATAAAGAAACTTCAGTCCTAATTAAATAAAAGAAAAAACTCTTATTACAACTATACCTAAAAATGATAAAGACAACTAGAAAATATAGATTTAAAACACATGTTTTCTGGTAGGAAATAACATTTATCTTATTTCTTTCCTTCTCGGATTGATTTTGGATCTTCTCTTGGTATTGTCCCACATTATTCCCTTCCAAAGGTTTAAAGAAGGAAAACTCATTTATTGAATTTTTAATGGTCGGAAAATCTCTCCCTTCCACTTTAGAAGCTTTATGTGTCTTCCCTATTGTAATTGTTTATCCTTACACTTGAACTTGTAGGCATTCACTCTACCCTTATGTGTGTCATTCACATTAATTTGCCTCGATCTGTCCAATAGAATATGATACCCATCCAATTGAACAAAATCACAAATAAATTTTGAGTCGGGTGAATATATGAACCATTCTCAATCGGTACAACTGGATGTAGATCTGAATGTGGTTCGTTTGGCAGATTCAGATGATGTACTAGCTTCTTCGTGATTAGATTCTCACCACTGCAACTATTTATGGTCTGACTGTAAACAACATCATTAGCCTAAAAGATCTTTTCATGATAAGTTAAATCTTCGTGCTTGGATGAGCACAAGACTTTCTCCACATTACATACGAAATTTCCTTGTTCTTCTCCACAAATTTCATTCATATATTCTTCAGAGGGATGTCAATAGATTGAGCCGGCTCAGATCGTACACGCAAGAGCTTGGCTCTCCCTCGTGGCGAGCCGAGCTTGAGCTCGACTCGACCCACGAGCTTGTGGCTCGTCCGAGGTCGTGGGCCGAGCCGAGCTTTGGCTCACGAACTGTCCTTTTTTCTTTTCTTTTTTTTACTTTTTTTTATACAGAAAAAAATAAATGAACATAAATGCATTTTTAAAAATATAATTTAATGAAGACAATTTTTTTTATTTCTATCATATAGTAATATTTTCTATAAAGTGTTAAATATTTGTGTAATGAAGACGATTTTTTTTTAAATACATTTACAAAAAATACATTTTTTCAATTTCTTTTTAAAATAGATAAAATGTAAACCCTCCTCTTTTATCCGGACTTGGGACCGACTACATCAATTTTAAGTAGACGGAGTTAAAAATTGTACACAAACAATTTGTTAAAGAAAATTAAATGTAACGATTAAAAAATAAGAAATTCTAATTAATATAATTAGATCAAATATCACTTATCCGACGACATGCAATTTCGACATATTTATCTTGTAGTTGAAAATGAGCGTCTTGTCAATTCTTCACTCACATTAACGCTTTCAAAGCATCTTCTTTTTGCTAGCTCCTGATATCGGTCAAAATCATTTTACCTGCACTAAAAGTAAACTCCGAAGCAACAATACTAATCGGAGGTGTCAACAGATCTTTTGCAATTACAGAAATAACTAGTTTCATACTTTCGTCAGAATTCAATTACTTCTTCTAAACTTTTTTTAATTGTTTTGTCTGTTGACATATTCTGATTGAAGTAATCAATTAATTCGACAAGCATTGCATTTTGAATTGAGGCTGATGTTTGATGAGATGCAGATGTAGACAACATGACACTAGATGAACACATTGCAGTTGTATCATATCTATATATATTAATGCCTTGAAATAAATTCATTATTTTAATATCATCTTCTTCAATTTCACTCGAAGGAATAGGTGTAGAGGGTACCCGACTAATATTTGCACCCATTCGTTCCGCATATAATTCATACATTTCACATAATGTTTGCTCTAAATTTCTATAAGTGATAGATGTATCAAACGTTAAGGCTTTGTTGATTTGATCAATTACGTATTTAGTTCCCGATAAATTATATCGAGGGTCCATTATGCATGCTAAAGGAAATAACATAAGCATGTCTTCCCAATATTTTCTAAACTTTAATTCCATAATTTTCATTGAGATTAATATGAATTTAATCAGTTATAGTAATCTTCAGTTGTGAAAAAATTGAAAGAAAAAAAAATTACAAGAAGAGTTTCATAGTGACCAAAAAAAAAAAAAATATATGGCTTTATTTATTTTCTCAAAAAATAAAATGCTAAATAAGGTATCCTTCTCATATAATACTAACATCATAATAGTCGAAAATAGCACACAATGCAAGAGCTTCGTTACATCTAAAAAAGTAGAGTGCCGTGTTTAACATACTCCTTGTTACTCTTAAAACTTTCGAAAAGAAAAGTAATATTTTGTAAATCTAAATATTAGGGCTTACATGTGGCATGTCTCTATTCTGATTAGTTTTATCGATGCAATAATAAAAATGCAATTAAAGTCAATGAAGTCGATATGCGATGTACCACAAAGATTGAGGTGAGATTATTTCTTACTTTAAAAGAAAATTAATGGATGCATCATGTATTCTTCTTGTATAATTCACTTTACACAGAACCGTCTAACTAATAATATGCATTTATGAAGTATTGTACACGAATATATTTATATAAAAATGTCAACGATTTGATAATGAAAAACAATAAATACTTCATTAAATGTTGCAATTCTATTTTTTATGTTGTCATCTTACTTTCACTATGGAGTAATAGTAATAAATATAACAAATTACTAAAATACTTTTCCCTTAAAACCAATCACTCAAAATGAGATTTAATTACATACATAACGGGCAATTCATTGATTTAATTTTTTATCGGTCTAAAATAGAAAGAAGTCAAATACTTCATCACTTTTGTATCGATTCAATTAAATTATAATTTGAAAGTTCGACATCAATTCACCTTATCCTAGTTTCCACAACTGAGGTCAATGGTCCAAGAATTGGCATCTTCCTCGGCTAATTTCTTCCTTAACCCCAGTTTGGTTCTGATTTTTCCTTAATTTTTGATCGTTACTTCCTTAAGTTAGCCATCATTTTTTACTTCTTCACTCACAGGTAAGATTCACTTTTCTCTCTAACGGTCAATAAATCAATTCTCATAATCACTATCGAACAGACCCTTAAAAATAAGAACAAAAATATTATTGACAAAAAGGTTTTCAACATTGAAATTCAACTATATAAATAAGTCACTTTGGGAAAATAATAGTTTTATCATAAAAGAAAGAGAGATAGAAGCAAAAGTAGTTTTAATGCAACATCACTAGCGATGAGGTTGTGATATATTTCACGAAAAGTGATGGCGGTCCAATTATGAATCAGTTCGTAGCAGATTTAAATTGCAGTCTTTCCATTAAAAGTATTTATCGTGTTTATGTTTCCCACCTAAGTCAAGAGGCAGAGATGGAAGCAAAAGCAATTTTCATTACAACAAATTTAGCAGTGAACGTGTAATTATGGGTCAGTTCATGAATGATTTAAGTTGCAGTCACTTCGTTAAAAATTACTTTATGCTTTATGCCATTCGAGTCACATATATATTAAGGTCCCGTTTGGGAGTAATTTTGAGAATTGATTTTTTGACAGTTAAGAGAAAAGTGAGAGCCACCTATGAGAGAAGAAGTCAAAATTTACGGCCGAAATGGTAGAATAACGGTCAACAATCAATTTTTTGGAGTGAAAAATCACTCACAAACGGCCTCTAAGTGTTCTATATAGCTTGGTTCATGACTTATCCAAGTTGCATATTCTCCATTAGAAAATTGCTTTACTGCTTACGTCCTCGCGTCACATCTTTGTTTTTAAATGTTTTATATATCGAGTCTTTGCTCACGCGTCTAATGAAATGATTTTTAGGCCGACCCCTTGCAATACCTTACTCAACAACATTTTTCTAGAAAAAAGATTATTGAAAAGGTACCTATTTATTTATAATCAAAAGGGCAAAAGCTACATCTTTTTAATCCAATGGAGATTCTAGGATTGGCATCCTAGGTAGTTTCTAAGGCATAAAGTAAGAAAATTCGCACCAATTTCCCTTAATTGACCCGATAATGGGCCACAAATATGTACATTTGTGATTTTCTGCTGATTTAGCCCATTGTATACTACTAATCCACCCAACCCTACTTACCCCACCTATTTAATGTGATAAGAGGTGAAATGGTCCCAATTAGGCATGGGATATTTCTCTTGTTGCTCTCCACCAAATTAAAAAAATAAATAATAAAAAATCGACGATACTCAAACTTAAGATCATAACTTTTTTAGACTAACTCGACATCCTAATTTGAAATTTATCTAAAATTGAGTCCCTGTTTGT